TTTTTTTATTTTTTTATTTAATAGAGTGGTACTACTTATGTTCTTCAAAGAAGGGTATATAGGCCTATACACTAAATAACCGAATATTTAAGAATAGTAACATAGATCATTACAGTATTTCGTTTGATTCCTTGATAATGTGTTTTCCCTCAGATGAACCAATCAGATTTACGTCGACTAGCGCCCTCATTGCCACCAGTAGACGCAAAGGCTGCAGAGACTTGCCTGCAAACCTGTTTCAACTGGATAAAGAACGTAAACTTTCGTCATTCTTTATTTTTATTATAATAATTATATCATTTTTAAAATTATATTGTTAATTCTTTTCCCTGAATGTCTTTTTACCATCACATGGCCTACACTGCCAGTAGCTCGTCATAATTATTGGTACCATTCATTATGATCGTTATTATATAGGCCTATTGTTATTTGTACCATTAATATTATCTGAAACAACTATAAACTATATTAATATAGATTTTCTCAGGTAATATTTCATTATAATAATAATAATAATAATAATAATAATTATTATTATTATTATTATTATCATTATTATTATTATTATTATTATTATTATTATTATTATTAATATTATTATTATTATTGTTGAATGTTGCTGCTGCTGCTGTTGTTGTTTTATTATTATTATTATCGTTATGTTGATTATTGACGCCTAATACCATCACTAAGTTCATCTATATATGTGACGTTGTTTTCATCATTTCAGATTTTAGCAAAATTAGGAGTAGTTCTAAGCCAGCCTCTCTCACGGTACACTAATCCCTTAGTAGTCTGTGTTTTCTGCTTCTCGTTCGGGTGAGTACTTTTTCCAGATAGTTGTTAATTTAACAATTATAATAAGAAGAAAAAAGAAAATAAAGAGTAATGATGATGACTATAATGGTATTAACAATGATAATGAAAAACATATTGATGGTAATTATGATGATGATGACGACGACGACGACGATGGCGATCATGGCAAATGACGTGTTATTTACATGACAAATTCTTTATGCATTTAGATTTATCGGTTGGACGTTATGGTTCCCAGTTTTCATCAACTCAACTCAGACAGACGTTTATAGAGAAAATCAACAGATTTCCAAAAACATTAATTACAGCGATAATGCCTATCCGAACGATATTAGCATACACCGATTCGAATACGTTACATTCGAAAACGTGACATTTAGTAACTTGCTGATCAATGACACAGAATTCTATCGCTGTGTGTTTGAGGACTGTCTCTTTACCAACATTCTATCAACGACCACTATCTTCAATATGACAACATTTATAAATACCGAATTTAAGAGAACAGATTTCCATGAGCATAATTTCATCGGGACGGGGAGGCCGCGATTTTTGGATACTCGTGGATGTAGTTCCGTGGTCGCATTTGCCCCTACCGCTGCATATTGGAAGATGTTCGCCGGAGCTATTTGCGGCGTCTCGAGTGTTTGTGTAGGGATTGCAGTTTTAGAATTGCTCGGACCAAAGTTCATGTTCGGTAAGTTATCTAGTTCAAATAATAAATAAAAATATGGAGGACGATGACAGGCTACCGGTATTAAAAATCAATGATAAACAATATCAATAGATATACCATAAGCCTCATTGAAAGAGGAAGAAAAAATTTACCTGGCCGATATGGGGCTCGAACCCATGACATTCGCGTTATTAGCACGACGCTCTGCCGACTGAGCTAACCGGCCCTGCCATGA